TATCCCCTGTGTGCCTTGTCGACTCAGTTTTAAATATGTCTTCTTTGTCTGTTGCAGATGGCAACGGATAGGCGGATTTGCGCCAAATATATAATAATATCATATATATTCATTATTTTTATAATTACATTTAGTACATTTATAATTACATTTAGTAAATTGCAAATAATTTTTTTTAATTTCAAACCTAATAATATTTTTTTAAATTCTTCTCCTCTTCATCTTCGCGAGCGATAACGGGTGGGTCCGCGAGCGATAACGGGTGGGGTGGGGCCCGTGCGCAACGGCGGCGGCGGCGAACGCGGCGGCGGCGGCGGTGAACGCGGCAAGCGCGAGCGCGGTTCCCCTCTCCCCGCGATACCCGCATCTCCAACGTGGTATCCCTCTTCCCCGCGCATCCCGCATTGCCTACGCGGTATCCCTCTTCCCCGCGCATCCCGCACCCACAACGCGGTTCCCCCGTCTCCGCAGACCTCGGATCCACGACGCGGTTCCCCCGTCCCCGCGCATCCCGGACCCACGTCCCCGCGGTCAGGCCAGCTGATCGAGCGGCTTTCCGCGGCTTCCCCCTCCCCGCGGACCCCGCATCAGACCGTGAACGTTCTGAGCGGTTTCCCTCTCCCCGCGGCTTCCCCCTCCCGCGATTTTCCCCGCGGACCCCCCGCGGACCCCCCTGCCCCTCACCCCTCCTCAGAGCTCCTGGTCCAGAACCGGCCTATAATAGCTACTCACGACGATACCAGGCTAGTCTCGCTCGAGAAATACAAGATCGCCGGCAGCACCTGGGGGAGTCTTTCAATAAATACGCCACCGCCCTACTAACACTCATGCGTAGGGCCGGAATCGTCTCCACAGCGGAGAAAGTAGACCGACTATACGAAAACATGAGGACGGAATATAAGACGTTCGTACGCCTCAACGACGACGTTGACCTTACAGAGCTCACGTACCAAGCTAATAAGTTCGAGGAAATCCGAAGGGCCCAGACTCAGGAAAACCAGGCCATCAAGAGGCCAGTGAACACGGCCACCTCCGCCGTATACGACCGAGACAGCACGTGTTGGCGCTGCAAACAGAGGGGACACGACCGGTTCAACTGCAAACGCCCACCAAAAAAATTCTGCTCCCAATGTGGCAGGGACGGCGTACTCATTTGGGAATGTCACCCCCGCCCGGGAAACGCGCCTACGGCCGGGGACCCCACCAACGAGCCCCGGCCCAACGACACTCAATAAGATACATACCCAGGCCACACTGCCCCGTTCGCCTGGGCACCCATATCATCACGGCCTTGATAGATACCGGGTCAGAGATCTCTCTGATCAACACCCAGACCGCCCGGCAAGCACGGGCACTGCGCTTACGACCCATTAACGAGGAAGGACAAATACATCTAGCCGACGGCACCACCATCACCACCCCGGGGCGAGTCACCCTTCCCCTCCAGATACAGGGAAGACGACTGCAACACACCTTCCACATCCTCCCTACCCTCGAAAGCCCAATATTGGTCGGAATAGACTTCTGGTCCCGCCTCCGCCTTCCCCTCCCGCCGCCCCCTCTCGGAAGCCCACCCCAGGAAACACCCCACAACACATGGCCAATCTCGCAGGGACTACTGGCCCGCACCCCGCGAGAAAGCCAGGAACCTCTCAGGAGTTCCTTCAGACCGAATTAAGGAAGTTCGAAACAATTTACGGCCCCACCGACAAAGCCATACACAAAATCCACTTGACGACACTCGCCCCCATCAAGCAACGCTACCGCCCCCGAAACCCTGCCATGCAACAAATAATCGACAAGGAGGTGAGCACCATGGAGGCCAATGGCATTATCGAACCATCCACCAGCGCATGGAGCTCACCCATCGTCATCGTACGGAAACGAGACGGCCGATCCCGGTTCTGTATAGACTTCCGCAAGGTCAACGGGGTCACAGCCCGGCACGCTTACCCTTTGCCACACATTACGGCCACCCTGGACAAGCTGCGTGGCGCCAGATACCTATCCACACTCGACCTAGAGTGTGTGCAAGGGTACTGGCAAATACCGCTGGCACCCGAAAGCCGCCCGATCACCGCTTTCACCGTACCCGGCCGGGGCCTAATGCAGTTCAAGGTCATCCCATTTGGTCTGCACTCCGCCCCGTCCACGTTCCAACGACTCCTCGACAATATCCTCGGCCCGGAACTGGAACCCCACGTATTTGTGTACTTAGATGACATCATCGTCGTCAGTTCCACGTTCCACGATCACCTCCACCATCTTACCGAGGTTTTCCGTCGACTCCGCAACGCCCGCCTCCGCCTAAATCCCGACAAATGCCACTTCTGCCTGACCGAACTTAAGTACCTCGGACATATTGTCAACCGCCGCGGAATAAGGACCGACCCCGATAAAGCACGAGCCGTCGCAAACTGGCCCGCCCCCACGAATATCCGACAGGTCCGCCAGTTCATCGGACTGGCGTCGTGATACCGACGCTTTATCCGCAACTTCTCCACCCTCGCCGCACCCCTCACCCAATTCACACGGAAAAACGCCAAATGGAGCTGGGATCCGGGAGCCGAGAATGCGTTCCAAAAACTTAAGCAAGCGCTTACGTCCGCCCCGATACTGGC